GAGAATGGAAGTTGGTGCCTATCTATGTTTCTTGTACCAGCTGTTGCACAAAATTATAGTCAATACAATGCAGTATTATCAGGCTAATATGTTGAATAATTACTTAAATGAGCATTTGAGCTAGTGCATTGCAGCACTGTTTCACTTTCTTCTTTTATTCCTGGCCCAAACATATAAAGTTTCTTTAGTGTTCTGTTTACAGTGACTGTTCTTTTAACAGAGAAAACAAGATGTAAGTCTTCTAAATTAGATTTATTATTTATCCTATTTGTAGCTCACCTTTCTACCAAAACAGGGCACATGGTGGTCTCTAAATCACAGCTTCAGTTCTTAATCCTGTCAGAATTTTTGTCAGCCCAGCTGAGTTTAGCAGTTCATACTGGCATCATTTTAGTACAGTGGTTCCAATCAAATTGAATTTGACCTGAATGTAAGATTGGCTCGTCAGCTGTTGCTGTAAACAGGCAAGATCCTTTCTGTCAAACCAGAGGTCCCATTCAGCTCCTTATGTACCAGCACGTTCCTGAGGTCTGTGTGGGAATGGCAGTCATTCAGTGGTTACAACACATACATTGTCTGTGAGATGCTCCAGTTTCATTTGCTGGCATCTTCAGGTAGTATTGGAAAGACTCCCATCTGAGGTTTTGGAGAGCCCTTGCAAGTTAGTATAGACCAGTGATGGGAAATGCATGGCCTAGAGACTCTTATCAGCCTAGCCAGCAATGGTCAGGGATCCAATTATAAGGAATGTCTGCAATTGGAGTCCCCTGAAGGGCCACACATTCTGCATCCCAGGTATAGATCATGCTGAGTTAAATGGGCCAGCCAAATACTCACCTGGTGTTCAGCTGTTGTCCTGTGTGCAACTCTTGCAGTACCAAGGCCTCTGCATTTTTCCCATTGCTGTGGTTTTTTCCAGCTTATTCAGATCCAGTAACGACCAAGATAATGGCAGCATCAAACATCCATGAAAAACAAGTAGAACAATTGGTAGGAGGACCTAGGTATAGTAACAGTTAGGTCTAAAATACCAAGAGCTGAAGACTAACCTGACAGTGGAAGCTAACATTGAGCTTTACGTTGAATAATAGATTGGAATCAAGTCGGAGTGTAAAGTTAGACCCCCTTTTAAAAGGCTGGGCACAACTACATAACTTTCTTACTGCACATGTCAAGTGTTCAAAGCACATTACTTGAATTGCTACATGCATCTGAAAGCATCTCTTGTCAGGCAGGCCAAGGTGGTGGTGGTGGTACTGTTCTCGCAGATGGGTAGGCAAAAAGAGCTGTGCCTTTCTGGAAACTACTAGTGTGCTTGAGCTGGGGTGGCATTTAAATGGTGGGGACTTCCCAGCTCCCCTTCTATCCAGCATGGCACAACAGCTCTTAAAGCTGCAAGATCAAAAAGCTCTTAGGCTGTGTGAAATTCTCAAGGCACTGTAATGTATTTCACCTGACTTGCAGAGCATCTGTTTGCACTTTGATGTGCAGATGGTTAAGACAGGATTTCCACTGAAACTCAACTTTGATTCCACAAAGGTGCTGTACAATATCAATATTCCACATTCTCTCCTCTACAAAACCACAAAGCTTCTAATGCTTCTGTACCCTTAATAGCCATGTGTCAGGGACATGTTCAACATGCTTGTGTTGACATAAGAGGCACAGGAGCCCATTAGGGTTAACAGATGGGCTGCAACATGGCAGGAGAGCTCATACTTCATGTGTGGAATATCCCAGATTGAGTCCCTGGCATCTCTCTCTCTAGAGAAGTGAGCTTATCTGGGTCTTCCTTTCTTAAAAATGTATACCCGGCCTTTCCATAAAGCTTTTCCAAGCTGACTAATAACAAACTGACACCACACAAGTGATAACATGATCAAACAATATAAATCTCAGAGAAGAACAGATAAAAAAATAAAAACAGCAGCAAATTCAACATGATTAAAATACAGATTTAAAGCACGGAGCAGAAGAGCTGTTGTTGGTGAATGTAGACACTGTCGTGACTGATGGAACAATGGTCTGATTCTGCACGCAAGTCATCACACTGTGCTCCTGTAGATGCTCTTTAGCACTGAAGGTGAGGTTTAAATCCTCACTTGCCATGAGAGTCATGGTGTGACCTTGCACTTGTCACTCTCCCATCCTAATCGATCTCATGGAATTGTTGTGAGGACAAAAAGGCTGGGAGGAAAAACATGTATGGCACCTTGATAGTTGGAAGATGGAAAAGGGACGTAGCCGAGTGTCAGCACATCTACCTTGCTTTCAGAAGGACTCAATCTCTGACGCCGCCAGGCAGGGGTGGAAGCACACTGCTTTGAAACCTTGGAGAGCTGCAGCCAGTTGGTGTGGATCAGGGGAGGGCAGCTTGCAGCCTTAGGCTTTCAAGTGATCTTCTGCCTAATTTCAAAAACCTTCTGCAAGCAATCAGTTTAGGCCTCTGACAAGAGTGGTCTGCAGGCAAGGTGAGAACATGGAATGGTGTGGCAGAAACAGAAAGGAAAGGGCTGGTCCTGTTCACGGTGGCTCTGGGCAGGCTCATACTTAGTTTTAGTCCCACCCACTGCTGTCATGAGGCCACTGCCAGATTGCTCAGAGGGAATATGGGGGTCGATGAAGCAGGAGAAGTTCCCTTCCAGCTATTGTTTTAGGCAGCACTGAATTGGATGGGCCAATGGGATCACGCTGTATAAGGCAGCTGCCCATATTCCCATGGGTCAGGAATTGGCAATGTTACACAGCCCTGTTGCTGTTTTATACTTTGTCCCATGTCAGCCCCTTAGTGTAGTTGGATGAGTGGCTTATTTTTCTCTCTACAGCAGTTTTTCCAATATTCTTACAATTTGCCAATCTAGGCACATTGGTCCTGAAAGTGTCTTTTAAACCCATTTGTGTGCAATGTTCCATTAAGGAAAAATGCTGTTATGTACCAGACAAGAAGAGATAGCAGAAGGAAAACTTGGACTTGCCTTATCATCATTTAGAAGGAAGTTTACACACCTTTGAGTTTTAGTATTTCTCATTGTACCATTTATGCTCTTCCTCATGCATGTTCAGTCACCAGATGTTTTTCACTCTGACACTCTTTCACATCTACAGGAAAGTCCTAAACCAGGCAGAAAGAAACAAGTCCTCCCACCATGTTAATGATACTTAAATTACAAGAGACAATGTTTTAAAGAAATCATCATATTTCACTTCCCCTTAGGCTTTAAATACGACTTCAGCATACCTGTAGTTTCAAGACCAGTGCAATGCGTGGAAAATCTTGTGACAATGAAGTAATGAGCATGTAAGCCTGGCTGGTCTGTATGATATGACTGCATGTGCTCCTTGGGACACTAACGCCTATTTTCTTGCCCAGAACATCCTGTTAGATTTGCAGAGCTGCTGGCATAACTATACAAGAACAAAAAAAAAAAGTGAAAGCAGACACTGCCGCCCAGTACCATGCTGGGTACAGTTACCAACCAAATGCCTACAGAAATCCCAAAAGCAGAATATGAAGGCAATTCCCCTGTCCAGATGTTGTTCCTCAGCAACTGTCTCCAGTCTTTGGGGTAGCTCGTTGCCATTGTGGGCTCTCTGTTCTCCATGAATTAGTAGAGTCCACTTTTAAAAAGCATGCCATTTTATTTATTTATTTATTTATTTACATTTATTTATAGGCCATCTATAATTGCCGATACCTTTCTACACCGCTTACAATGCATAAAACATATTAATAGAGTAAAACACATTAAAACCAATTAAAACACAATGAATTTAACATCTATAAAAGTCAACAGATTTTTCGCACGATTGGTGGTGGGGAATAAATTTGGGATTTGTGGCATAAAACTTTGGTATAGATTTGGAGGTGGTATGACAATGTTGTTTCTTATATGTGGACTCCAACCTTTCATCTGATGTATCAGTACATGATTGTGTGTTCTGATACAAAAGTTGGAATTTGTGGCATAAACAGGCCTACTTTTGGCATAAATTTGGACAAGATACTAGCTTGGGAGTATTGTTGTTAACAGAGCTGTGATGCACTAGATCTCTCATTGGTCTGAATGCTGCGATGCAGTTCTTTTCAACTCAATTGTTATCAAAATGTGCATGTATATATGTAGTTTGAAAGAAAACATCTATTTAGGCTGCAATCCTATGTTCTCTTATCTGCGAATAAGACCACTATACTCAATAAGGCTTACTTTTGAGTAGGAATAGACATGTACAATATGCATTTTGATTGAAAATACATATTTATCTATATTAATCCATATGAATGAATTTCCCCCAAATACATGATTAAATGTAATTCTTGCTCTGCAGTGATTGATTCCTATATTGACTGATTGTTTCTTTTAAAAGTGAACAATACGCATTTATCACTGGAAACTGGATTTGGGGGGTGGGGTTTAGAGTATAACCTTTAAGTTTTAGATTTGCAAACGTTGTCTCATCACAATTCTATAAAAGTCACAAATGATGAGCCTTCAGGTGTCATATTTTTAAGATATGCTATAACTTACTGGAAAGAAAGGAACATGCTATTGGATCTTGAGGGTTAAGCTTTAGGAAGCCAAACCTAGTAGATCTGATGTGTGAAGTATCCACATGAAAGTGTGTTCCGTTGAATGAATTACCGTGGAGCTGCATGCTTCCTTGGCCCATTTCTCATGAGGTAAGTCCTTCAGAATCAGGCTCTAGGAATGATTTGGTGTTATAGTAGAACCATAATGAAACATCTATGCAAATCCATGGGACAGTTCAGCTATAAGCATCAGCTACTCTTTTGGGATGTCTCTTACAGAGACCTGCTGAGGGGAAACACACATGTGATAGAATGCTATTGCACTCATGGTGTGTTCATGTGCTGCCCACATCTGGTTGGCCACTGCAGGAAAGAGCACATTGGACCAAGTGTGATTTTTTCCTGACCTAGAAAGGCTATTATCATATGCTTACAGAACTACTGTAAGTTTGCATTCTTGTTTGAAATACAGGAAGAACATTCTTCGATTCTTGGATGCGGAGAGAGACATTTCAGTAGTCAAAAGCAGCTTCAAGCCAGGAGATGTAATCCACTATGTGCTAGACAGACGCCGTACACTAAACATTTCTCAGGATCTGCACAGCCTTCTTCCTGAAGTTTCGCCAATGAAAAACCGTCGATTTAAGACATGTGCCGTGGTAGGAAATTCTGGTATCCTCTTGGACAGCGGGTGTGGAAAAGAGATTGACAGCCACGAGTTTGTTATAAGGTGAGCTTTCATTTTTACTAGACAGGTTGTCTGTTACTTCAGCAATAATGAACACAAATGCCTTATCATGCCTTGGCATGATAGTTCAGAATTGCTGAGTGATATCTTTCACTGTGTGGTGCACAAAGTTAAATATATTTCAATGTAGATGGGACAGAGCCATCTTGATACACTGAATGAAAAATTGCCCCATTGGAGACTGCAGAGAGATTTGTAATATGCGAGAACTTGCTCTTTAGGCAGACAAACGTCACTATTCCAATAGAGAGCTGGATCTACAAAATGAAAGTGTTTTCATATTCTTCTTCTTGCCAGTAGTCATAGAAGAAAATTACTACCTTCACTTATTATATATGCACTATATGGGGTAAAATTTACATGAAACACTTTGGAGATTACAGAGTGCTCCCATAAAGGAAATTGTAAGTCACACATAGAAACCCTTGCATGCTACACTGAAAATGCATCTGACTGCATGTGCAAATGTATTCACATATTTTAGTTTTAATAATTAGTTTGCTTGTTCAAAGTAAAACGTTATGCACTGGCAAAGGTCAGCAAGAAATTAAAAGGAGTTGCAGGTACTGTTTAATAAGCTGTCATTGTATGAATGCAAAATGAGTTTTAGTTGAAAACACAGGGCATTTGGGTGCCATCCGAAACCCTTACAAATCAATCAGAGTCTTGCCATTGACTTAAGTGGGAAATGGCTTATACCCACTGTGCATAGTTCTCCATGCTTATCCATATTAAAGACAGAATTATCATGATCCTGCCAAATTTAAACAAATGTAAGCCTCATTTATTTGAATACCATGTACTCAATTATACCACTGTATCAAATGTTTTTGGAGTTCGCTTTGTGATATCAAAGCTCCTATTCCAGAATAGGGAATAAAACTGTATGTGGACACCCCCCCCTTCCCAAACTTCTGCTCTTCACACATTTTTTTTTGTATCTGGTTATAGCTATCCCTTTCCTAATTTGCTAATTCAGCGCTTTTGTTGACTTGTAGAGGACAGTGTGTGATCAAAGCCAATCAGGGATGATTTAGTATACAGGAGGACATCACACTGCCATGCAGACAATCAGATTTATCTCTCTGATGACATCACTAAGACTAAGAGCAAATGTGAAGCCCTCCCATTTCCCTCTGTCTGAGTGGAAAAAAATGGGAACAAGTGGAATCCATCTTTATCATTCAGGCTGTTGCCCTTCCTGTTGCTCTCCAGTATAACTTCTGTTACTCAGCAGTAAACATGGAAAGACCCTCTGCACTGATCCTGTGATAGTCTGCAGAGCTATGCATGACTAATTGGTACAGAATAGGAATGAGATTTACATTTGGATGAGTATATGAATATGCGTCCTACTGAAAGCAATGCAATACATGGGAAATACATCCACAGTTTTGATCCATATCTGGATGCCATCATGATTTTCATTGGAAATTGCATTTGGACACTTATCTTAGTGACTTCCAAATACATTAGCCAAATTACCTTGGTAATAGTGGCACATTCCCTCATCTCTCCCAGCCCTCCCACTGGTGCAAAAGGTGGCTGTTGAGGGACATGTAGAGTGGGAAGCAGAAGTGTTATTGAAATGTGAGTCAGTTTTGGGTCAGCATCACTGTATACATGTATTTGATTGGACTCTTAAAAGTGTTTAACTTTGCTTTGATTAAATGCCCCCATCACCAACATCCTGGTTGTAACTGTTTCAGGATTAAGTGCATTGAAGAACTGGACTGTATCTCAGAAAATTGACTTGCATTTCTTTCCTTAATTACGGGAGTCTATTGGTTAAGCAACTCTTTGAATTAAAAGAATTCTTTATTCAACATGGAAAATGGACATTTTCACAATATTCTGTTAGGAGCAATATTGGTAATTTTAAGGTCAAAGGGTTTTTGACTTTAAAGCCAAAACTTGTAAGATGAGAAGAATGGTAATCTGTAATTATATTTTCTGTGTACAGTGCTGCAGCTGAAAGATAAAGCAACCATACCACATGTGTTCTTAATCCATTGGCTCCACTTAGGTTGTTTCATTCCTGGGGTGTCTCAGTGTAGTTTCTGAGGACTAGCCTTTTATTAGTGCCACCAGCTGTCCACATAACTTAAAGGTTAGTTCTCATATTACTATTTGCAGATATGGAATGTCCTGTCATTTATCCTCCTGACCAATGCAGTCCCAGTGATGCTAGTCAGATTCCTGTTCTTCACTTACTACATTGCATCCTGTTGTGAATGTTCAATAAGGAGAGAGATTCACAGGAATCACTTCATGTTGAAAAGTTTAATTCCAGAAGCTGTCAAGTGGGAATCAATTTTGAAAATACTGTCACTTTTGACAAACTGGATACACGTCTCCTCTCGTTGTGTGAGTTGAGTTAGCTAAAGTTGACATGTCAGAAACCAAGGAGGTATAATAAAGTCTCAGTGTCAGTGGAGTAATTCCAGTTTATCCAGCAGTGAATCTGCCAAAGCAGAATTAATGTGCAGTGTGGGATATTCAGACACCCAGCGTGTCAAGTATTTGAAATAAAAAATGTATACATTTATGATATACCATTAAATGTATCTAGAATTAACTTTTGGTAGGCTGAACTTGATAAATATAGCACTTGTTTAAGCTTGCACAAAATTACCCCTCAGTTATTCTCTGGAAATAGTATTATGAAATACTAAAAGTGTGTTGATAATTCTCTGCTCATCTGAAAATGGCATTGTCCCTCTTAGTTATTTTGCTACGTTCTTTCCCATACAGATTCATTCCAGAACGGACTAGACTGCATTTAACTGACCTTTTTGGTTAATTATGAGAGGGGAAACCTCTAGAGATGTTCCATTCATCTCAGAAGCTGGAGAGTTTTAGAGACTGCATGTAAAATAACAAATAGCAATTGAATTCGTTTTCATCTGAAAGTCTGAGGTGTAGACTTTCTGTTGCTCCTCTTGAGCCAGGAGTATGTAAAAAGGAGCAAAGCAGTCCAATTGAGCTGCTATGCCTGATACAGAAAGGAGATATCTGATATAGAAATATGAAATAACTCATAAATATGAAGTCCACTGATTCGAATTCTTTGGATTCAATATAGGTGCACTTCCTATTTGTGCGTGTTTGTGTGTGTGAACCCATGCCATCAGATCTCTTGCTCTACTATTGCATGTAATAAATCTTGACTTTTAAGTGCCATGTGAATCTCATACAAAGGCATGTCCTTTAAGTGGTCCATATTTCCCATAAGAAACCATATATTCCAGTACGTAGTATGCTTCCCATATAAATAATGAGAGGTCAAGATTTTGAGCTTCCTTGTAGCTGTATTATCACACTAGCTAAGAATGGCATTACTGTAAGCAAAGCAGAAGAAACAGGAAACTATTTTTATGGCAGATATTCTTAGTGTCTGCTATATGACCAAGTACAGTGGCCAGCTGGGATTATCTTTAGCTTCATTGGCTGTAGGTCAGGCCCATAAAATCCCCAAGACGTAGAGAGTAATAGACCTTCCCCAAGAAAGGCAAATAGTGTTCAGTTTAGGCATCACACAGTAGAATCATGCACTTTGGGATGATTGAAGAGAGACGCTGGCCTTCTCTTCGTGACGGCATTTCAAGTACTTGTAAAGTGCTATCATATCACCCCTTCTTGAGGCTAAACATGCACAGTTCTTTAAAGCTCTCCTCAGTGAGTGTGCATGTCCATAGGTGCATACACAATTAGGAACTTACTGAAAATGTAATGCCAAGAACTAGTTTATCTCTGCCTTGAAATTAGGCAATGTTTAGTAAGAACATGCCCATTTTGATTTTCTCTTAGTGCTGAATGTACACAGAGATTTTAAAACTTAATATTTTCCTAAAATGTTTCTGGATGTCCTTTGAAAAGGGAAGGTTTATGCTATTACGTCCCAAATTTGTTTTGCTTTGAACATTTATCTCTCTGCTCTGCTGAAGTGTTATCCTCTATTTTATAAGGGCGGAGCAACAAACTTAAGGGCATGAGCTGCGCTCCGTGCATTGCAGCCTGCCTTGTGACCTGGCGGGTGTAAATGTGCCAGTTCATAAACAGCACATCTTATCAGTGCCAGAAGGGATCCTTACAGTGGATAAGAAGAGACTCTGGACATATGAAGTAGCTTTCAGTGAGCAAAGTCATTTTCCTTGCTGGAAAATGCAGGGCAGACTGCACAGTTCCAGACAGACATGCTGAAGGCTGAAGTCAATTTCAGAGAAGTTCAGAGGAGGGGGACACATTCCCAGGTGGGCAGGACCAGAGAAAACAGGGACCCAAACAGCTTAGCCCTAGAAGATTTTAGCATAAAGCTTCAATGACAGTAACTAAGCCTTAGGAGAAGGATTTCAACCTTTCAGAATGGGAAAACACCGAGACAAAAAATGGGAAAGCTCAAAACAAATGGTGGTTGGGTGAAAGGGAGTGTGACCAAGGGAAGGCTCGTGGTCCTCCAAGAACCCAGAGTGTGCGTCCCTAAACTAGGACTGAGCAACATGCAACACTGCGTTGCATACGATGTGTCCCTTACTCTGTGGGGCATGCAGTCTTTATTTTTTATGAAATGAGATCCCAGAAGCTGTCTGGGCAAGTGGGGTGGGGGCACAGGACTCCCACTCCCTCCTATATTATTTCCTTCATAGGCCAAAGGTTATTTTTCCACAGAAAAACACTGATGGAGGGGAAAGAATGAAAGCCAACACCTCCCCACATTTCAGGGATGTACCTGCTGCATTTTATAAGGAGAGAACCGCAAGGAAAATAGCAAAGCCCTTTTGCACACATGTGGAAGAGGAGCTGTATGACTTACAACCACAACTGTAGGCCCTTTGGCCCCTTCTTCCACTCAGAAGCAGTAGCATGATAGCACCGCACAGGAATGTGCATAATAGATTACGCTCCCCTTGACTTGACCTTATTCCTTCAAAGTGCTTCAGATTTACACCGAGCCCTGTCAAACTACACAAGCTGCATCTGGC